AGGGTGGGGGGGGCCTACATTCAGACCCTGACCCTGAAGTTGCCCTCCCTGCCTTAAATAATAGCAAGGCCAAAGCTTATACTGGTGACTCCAGTGAAGCAATTGCTGGTTCTTCAGCATCCTAGAGTGGCAAGCCCACTTTGTAGCACCAGGCCCTGTCAGCTGCAAGGCAAGCAGACCAGCCGGACCTGCAGCACTTCTCCCAACTTGCATCCCCTCTCCCCCTTTCCTCCATCGTGGTCTTCAGGTACATCGACGGCTGCTGCATGACGATAGCCGGGGCGTAGGGGAGCCACTGCTGGAACCTGGCGACTTCCACCATGGGCTGGTGGTCAGGGGTCGCCACCTCATCCTCTTGGACACAGCAGAGTCGTCAGCCGAGCAGCACCGCCTGTGGGCCCAGCAGGAGTTTATGGCACCACAGCTGGTGTTGGCCCCTGGCCAGGGGCCTCCATACCAGCCTGGCCAGGACAACGTGAAGGAGGTGAGGGAACGGTTGGGAAAGCAATGTAGTCAGTTGGCTGTGGCTGCCAGTTGCACGTACTCAAGGCCTTGCATGTGCAGCTCTGTGGGCGAGCTGATGCTTGGCATGCAAAATGGTCCCCCCTCTGGCTAAAGAGGGCAGAGCTTGGAGTGGTCTCTGCCCCAACCTTTGGAAAGGTGCTCTCATTCAAAGTCAACGGTACTAGGCTAGATAACCCATGACTCTCCAAACAAGGCAGATTCCCATATTGCTCTACAGTCTGGGCCCAGAATATCTTCGGCAACACATTTCTTTGTATAAATCACATCCCACCCACTTGTCCACATAACTTTCTTAGAAAATGATGTGACCCAAAAAGAACAATTCATTGGCAGGTGGGGACACAGATGTTGTATTCTTAGAATGTGTTTCTTATTCTTGAGCCCCTTATCTTTTACTGACTTTCACAACGTGTTTGTCTCACTTTATTGCTTTGGAGTGTTTTTAAGCCAACTCTTTGAAATGGCTGATCAGTAAAGTAAAAGCTAGTGAATCTCAGCTCCGTTCTAATCGGGTGGTGTCATATTACGATGCTTGTCTGACTGACTCTCTCCTTCCCCAATCCCAGTTCTCTGCTCTGCACCAGGCTCTCCCTTCAAATGTCCACTTGCTCACGCTGGCCCAATGGGAGCCCGACTCCGTTCTCATCCGTCTGGAGCACCAGTTTGAAAGGGGGGAGAGCGCCAATGGCTCCATGCCTGCTGTTGTTAACTTGCTGGTAGGTCTCTCTTGTAATATTCTTCATGCCAGCATTTATTTCTCTTGTCTTGTAGATGAGGGACTGAAGCTCACAATGAGTGACTTACTGGAGGAACTCTAGTGAATTTATTGGCTGAGCTGAGATTTAAAACAGGGTCCACGTCTCATTTTCTTCACTACTATGTTAGCTCTTAGAAACTCTGCCCTGTTCTCAGAAGTAGGATATTCAAGATATGGAGAAAAGAATGCTAGTCTGTGTTAGTTAATCCACAGTTAAAGGGCTTTACTCTCTTAGGTGTGCTGCAGCTTCCAAAACCACCTTAAAAGGTTGGGAGAACTTCCAAAGGAGTGAGTTTAAGGAGTTTAGCACTGGGCTATAACTTCAACTAACAGCATGATATGGAATCTCTCTGAGTTGTCACCATACCCTGTATGGCTTTTCTCTCCACACCTCAGAACTTGTTCTCATCTTTCAACATCATCACTGTGCAAGAGATGAACTTGGCTGCTAACCAGAAGCTGGAAGACGTGAACAGGCTGATCTGGCAGCCAGCTGAAGGTAAATCTTCAACTCTGAATGTGGCTACTGTGACAGACTGGATGGGCCATATCTGTTGCTATAAGAGGAAGATGGCCAGCGGTGACCAAAAAACCCACAAATCACTGGGCAATACCCTCTGCTAGATCCATTGAAACCAAGTTACTTAAGTCAAATCCATAGACTTCAGTGGGTCTACTATGCATGCGACCAAGGGGGCTCACTGCTCTAAACTACAGTAGCACAGAACCCATCTTCCTCTGAGGTAATCCTTCACACCAGCTATTAATAATTGGCTATGTCTGTGCTTACAGCACCAAACTGCTTTGATCCTTGTGTCCTAAGCAGCAGGGGTGTTCATAATGACAACGGTTCATAAATTATATGTGTAAGAATGCTATCGTGAAAAAAACAGCCTTTGGTCAAGCCAGTCCTCTGGAACAGGGTGAATTTGGTACCGTCCTGCTCATGTGACTATTAATTATATAGGTAAAGGACCCCTGGACAGTTAAGTCCAGTCAAAGGAGACTATAGGGTCATGTGGCCAGCATGACTAAACCACTTCTGGTGTAACAGAACACCGTGATGGAACCCAGAGTGCACAGAGTGGGTGGCGCTGTGGTCTAAACCACGGAGCCTCTTGGGCTTGCTGACCGGAAGGTCAGCGGTTTGAATCCCCGCAATGGAGTGAGCTCCTGTTGCTCTGTCACAACTTCTGCCAACCTAGGACTTCAAAAGCACACCAGTGCAAGTAGATAAATAGGTACCGCTGTGGTGAGAAGGTAAATGGCATTTCCGTGCGCTCTGGCTTCTGTCACAGTGTTCCGTTGCACCAGAAGCGGTTCAGTTATGCTGTCCACATGACCCGGAAAGCTGTCTGTGGACAAACGCCAGCTCCCTCAGCCTGAAGAGAGATGAGCACTGCAACCCTATAGTCGCCTTTGACTGTACTTAACCGTTCAGGGGTCCTTTACCTAATTATATAACTGTCCCCCAAATATGCATAAGATCCCAGAATTCCCTGAGTATCTCATATAGATAACCATGCATCATTGAAACAGTTTAGACTACACTTACTGTGCAGTGGTTGCTTCTAATGTTGTCCGATTCAGATTCTGGGTGTGTGAATAAGAGGCAAAGAGCCTTTCAGAACAGTCTCCCCAAGGCAGAGGGGCTCAGTCCTGTTTCTTTCCCCCTTCCACTGACACTTGAGACCCCATAGGAAGATGCCTAATATTAAGTCTGACCAGAGGCTCATCTGCCTCATTACTGTCTACACCAGGGGTCGGCAACCTAAGGCCCATGGGCCACAAGCGGCCCATGAGGGTCGTTTAACCAGCCCACCAAGCCGCCCGCTTGGTGAATCCCCGCATGCTGCGCTAAACCAGCGTAGCACGGGGACTCACTTTCGCAGCACTGGAAATCACGGGGGCTCATGCACGATCCGGCCCATGGATCTCCGCTGGAGTGAACCAGCCCAGGCAAGGTAAACCTTGCCAATCCCTGGTCTACACTGCCTAGCAGCAGCTCTCTGGAGCTCTGAGCAGCAACCTTTACTAGTTTTACCTGGAGGTGTGAGGTGTTGAACCTGGGGCAAAGCAGATGCTCTCCCAGTGACCTATGGCCTTTCCTATTAGATTCCTATTAGTTATTCCTGATCTGTGTTCCTGCTGTAGTCAACATGAAGATATGAAGCTACTAGGTGAGGAGGAAGGTGTATGCCCTGTTTTCCACCAGCACTGTTGCAGGGATCTGTCCTTCCCTCTGTTAGAAGATTGACTACCCTTGCCAGTTAGCTGGTAATCATCTGCATGTAACTCACAGGCTTTCCACTAAATGCTTGCAATTAACTCCCAGAGGCAAGGGACTTGAAGCCACAGGATCATGTATGTAAACTAAGACCAATTGCATTTATTAGCCGACCAAAGATACTTGTGCCATTGCTATTCTACTTCATTAGATGCACAATTAGTCCTATTGTTTCTTTCCAAAAGCGTCTTATCGACAAGGGACTGGGGTTCCAATATTGTCTTTCCTAAACTCCTTCTATCCACAGGAGCAGCAAAACAGCAGTCCAGAAGCAGGCTGGACCCAACACACATTGCACTGCAACCCATGGAGATCCGGACATTCCTGGCTCGTATTCAGCACAAAACAAGGCCTGGCAGAGAGATCTGAGCAGAGGGATTAATGTTCCACCTCTTAGTCCGTCCAAATGGAGTTGTGTCAAGCAAGGGCAGGACACTGGAGCGCTTGACAGGGCCTTTTCAATGGAGATGAAATGATTTCTCTCCAAGCCAAGACATTCTCGTGGAGAGAGGATTCTTTTAGGCTGCTAAAAGGCAGTAGAATCAGCTTCTGTGAACTTCTGCAATGATTTTGGTGAATAAGGGATCACTGTAAAATGCCTTTATACTCCCCTTTCCTCCACACCTGCACACCAAAGAAACTTGGATCATTTTCAGCGGAGGGTGTGGAGTTGGTGCAGTACTTGGGCTACCGTAAGTGCAATCATTACCTTTTCAATAAACCACTTAAAAACACACTGCAACATTCTGCTTTTCGACCCCAGTCTAGCATCTAAGTACAGTGGTACCTCGGGTTACATACGCTTCAGGTTACAGACTCCGCTAACCCAGAAATAGTGCTTCAGGTTAAGAACAGAAATCATGCTCCGGTGGCGCGGCAGCAGCAGGAGGCCCCATTAGCTAAAGTGGTGCTTCAGGTTAAGAACGGACCTCCGGAACAAATTAAGTACTTAACCCGAGGTACCACTGTACACAATAAGAGGGCGAAACAGGCAGTTTTGTTTCTTTTAACATACCATCTTTCTAGGGCTTCAGACAGAGAGCTCTTTCGCAGCCCAGTCTGGCAGAGCCAGGAATTCAATCTTGGAGTTGTTGCTGCATGCAAAGGATTTGGCTTTACCCTGACTCATTATTGCACATGCCATTGGGCTGGAGCCTGTGGTGCTAAACAGTATAACAGTGAGGACGCAACAGGGATTCCTAATACTGCTACTGTCTATTCACTAGATTCTCAGACTTGACCTTCCACTATTTAGAATGGAAAAACATCAACAGTGAAGCAGTGCACGAGGATGATCTTAAAATATCATTTTGGGGATGTAACAGGGTCACCCCCCCAACAGTACTTGAAGAGCCTGACAATTCAGTAGGCTCCTGATCTACTAGAGAGCAGTTTGAACATGATCAGGTAGAAAACATCTAGCAAACGAGGAACCATCAAAAGCTAACACCATTGTTTAATGGCAGGCACATCATAAATGGACAGTCATTTGAAAATAAAGGCTCTCCATTTAGCACAAATATATAAAACAAAAGGGAGCAGATACCAAAGACTGTTTCTCATCAAGATGGTGCTGGGTTGTTTTCTGCCGTCTTTCCTTCCGTCTCATGGGAGTAGCAGCACTTGTCCCCCAGTGAACAGTTGCCCTGTAAGGGAAAAGCAACACCCAACATCACTAAACCATTCCAGTCCTTGCATGCAGTCCTGTGGCTGAAGCAGCTGGCCCTTAGGCAAACTAAGGCTGGGGGCTGGATCCGGCCTTCTACATCCAGCCTGCAGACGGTCCGGGAATCAGCATGTTTTTGCATGAGTAGAATGTGTGCTTTTATTTAAAATGCCTCTCTGGGTTATTTGTGGGGCATAGGAATTTGTTCTTTTTCCCCCCCTCCAAAATATTGTCCGGCCCCTCACAAGGTCTGAGGGACTGTGGACCAGCTCCCTGCTGAAAAAGTTTGCTGACCCCTGCCTTAGGCAAAAGAGAAATTGGCTGCTTGGCCTAAGGAGGCTGTAGCTGATCTGGGAACGGAACCCACTGCTACACCTCTGGTTGCCTTCACCATTCTGTTCTGTATAAAAGCCAAACATACCGAATTTTCAAAGTTCCTCTAAAAAGCCCACTTGCCATCTGCAGGAGTTTTAAATGTTATGTGTAAAATTAAAACAGACTTACATACAACTAGTGACCCAGCCAGCCAAATAGGGTAACCCAGCAGGACTTTAAGGAACCTCCTGGTTTTGCTGCCTGCCTAGGTCTGTAAAAACGGAGCAGCTGTGAAGCACCAGGTAAGCTGTGCCTGGGTTGGTGGGTCACAAGTTCGTAAGCCTGGTTAAAAAATTGTGTCTTTTTTCCAAAGAAAAATCTGCTTTTCATTGGACATCCTCATACCAAACAAAGAATGGAGTTTAGGGACAGGGCAATTGTAACTGGGCTTAAAATGATTACTGAGAACTGTATTCTCCAGCTGACTCCCCTAAATGAGACCAATCGATACAGGTTGTGCATAATGACCTCTGGTTGCCAGCAGCTACAACTAATAATGGCAGCTGATAAGAGAGCTCATACAAAACTACCCGCCACATGGCAGAGAGGCAAACCAAGTGCAGCTCCAGTGGAATAAAACCAGAACCCAGAGAAGAGGGGTGTGCTTTGTGAGGCAAGAGGGGTTCCAAACCCCATATGCTTAACCCTTTCCCGCTCCCAGTTCTATTCAAGCTTCTTTTACTCGTGCTATGAGATAAAAATCAGTTACACAGGTACCATTTCCTCCATTTGCCATGAGTGAAGCTTAAAGAACTTTAGCTGCACAGGCCATGTGCTTAGACAGTAAAAAAGCAAAAGAGAGATGGAACAGGGCAGAGAGCAGAGAACCATGTCCCTTCTCCCCTGCACTTTTAAGCACAGCCACTCCCTGCTGTCATCAACGCTCAGATTCCCCCAAAAGGCTACCCAGTTTCTTTTACATACCAACCCAACATCTCAGTTCTAAGCAAACAGCACAGTAGCCGTGACTACTCACTTGCCGGAACCGTTTGCAGGGAAAGTTCTTCAGGTGGGCCCCATCACTCTGTTCTGCACATTCTTTCCTCTTGTTCTGGTGTAGCTTTCTCTTTTCCTGCAAGGAGGAAGAGATCCCACCCCTGCCCCCAGCAGATGTGTCAGAACAGAGCCAAGGAGGCTGGTGCTTTTGTTTCGGTGTCCCCGTCACTACTGCCCTAGCCAGGAGAGTCAGGGCAGGAACCTGGGCCAAAGACCAGAAGGAGTAGCCCAAATGAGGCAGATACATCTTCCTCTACTTCCCAGGAAGTTATGGGGCAAGGGAATGGGGAAAGTGCCATAGTTCTCCTTGTCAGCTTTTCCATGACATCCTTAAAAGTAATGCATTCTGGTACCATTTTTAACCAACAGGAATGAGTCCTGGCCTGTCTTTGTTCTAAAGCGCCACCCCCACCCCAGGATCTTGATTTCCCCATCCCAGGTTACATAAACTGTATCCTAGCTTGCTCCCAGCACACCCAGGTTCCCTGTTAAATCTTACCCAGCTTTGGCTCTTGCTTTTGGGCCCCAAAAAGGCTCTGGATTTAGCTGGAACCGTTTGAGGCCTTGCTTTCGTGAGCTAGGATTAGCATCCGCCCGGACAGTGAAGGATGCCTGCAGCCTGTGGAGTTTAAGAGTGTCAGCAAGGAATAATAATAATAAACTTTATTTATACCCCGCCCTCCTCAGCCATGGCCAGGCTCAGGGTGGATAACAACCAATAATAAAAACAAGTTGAATGAATACAACTTAAAAACAAGATTAAAATACAACATTAAAACATTAAAATGCAGCCTCATCACAGAAGGAAAAAAGAAAGAGGGGGAGGGAATCAAATCTCCTCCAAGCCAAAGGCCAGGCAGAACAACTCTGTCTTACAGGCCCTGCGGAAAGAAATCAGATCCTGCAGGGCCCTGGTCTCATAAGACAGAGCATTCCATCAGGCCGGAGCCAGTGTTGAAAAAGCCCTGGCTCTGGTTGAAGCCAATCTAACTTCATTAGGGCCTGGGACCTCTAGGGTGTTGCTATTTATGGACCTTAAGGTCCTCTGTGGGGAGAGGCGGTCCCGTAGGTATGAGGGTCCTAGGCAGTGAAAGGCTTTAAAGGTCAAAACTAGCACCTTAAATCTGACCCTGTACTCCACCGGGAGCCAGTGCAGCTGGAAAAGCACTGGGTGAATATGCTCCCGTGGTAGAGACCCCATGAGGAGCCTCGCTGCAGCATTCTGCACCCGCTGGAGTTTCTGGGACAGCTTCAAGGGCAGCGAATTACAGCAGTCAAGCCTGGAGGTGACCATCGCATGGATCACTGTGGCCAGGTCGGGGCGGGAAGGACAGTTCCTACCTGGAACCAAACCCCTTTCACAAAGTGGGATCACTACCTTCTCTTGGTCAGAATAGGACAACTTCTAGATGAAAAACTCTTGAGCATTTGAACACCCACCCATCCACCCTAGAGCTTATTTTGCTATCTATCTTAACCCGCAGCTGTCTGTCCCTCCCACCCCTGCACCTCAACAACAGCCTATAGATACATGCCCTCCTGATTTCCAGAGTTTCCTGCCAATGAGCCATTTCTTACTTGGCCTAAGGTCCCTATTTGCCCATCCAGCACCCAGTCTTGCAGTATACCCGCAATACCTACTTTGGTTCTACAGAAAGGATGTGGGCAGCTGGGCTGCTCTCGGAAAGGCGCTCTCTTTTCACAGGATTGAGTTTCTCCTAAAGTTGGGAGATAGGCAGGAGGATTAGAACAAGAAGTGGGTTTAATCTCAAGAGGTGAAAAGGGGAAAGCAAATGAAGAAACAAACTTCAGGTGAAGGATGGCTAGGAATCTGTCCTTTACAAACACCTCAGGAATGTGTTTTAATCGCTCTTTATCAAACCAGACCCAAAGAGCAAAGTATACATGCAGAAACCACGGCCAGTGGTACAAGGTGGCAGGAGCATGCCCCATCATTGCAGACAAAAAGCAATAGTGCCGCAGGCTGGAGCCTGAGAACGGGGAACAAATAGCTGTTCTGGAGGTGCCTACAGTAAAAGATCCAGAAAGAAAAGCTCCTTTATGCAGAGGTTAAGATTTTGCTCACCCAGCAGCGCATGATGTCCCAAAGCACAGGTGGTGGCGCATCTGTCTTGATGGCGTTTTTGCAGGCATGGGACAGTGACACCCGGTAACCAGCATGGAGGAGAGCTGACCTGGAAAGGAAATCCAGGGAAGATTTGCACAGAAATCTCTAATTTCCAAACTTTGGTAGAAACAATGGAGGGTTTCTCACTGTTTGAGTCAATTCTGTATTTCAAACTGTAGCCAACATCACGTTACCTCATTATTAGAACACAGGATTCCAATTTTGATCAGATTCAGACCATGACCATTTCATTGCACATCCCTAAACATTTGTTGCTTGTTGATGTCGGAGCACTATAGTCTGTCAACCTGTTTATCCCAGCTACTCTGTGAAGTGTCATTCTTTCCAAACAATGCAACAATTTGAAGATGACCACCCTCAAACTGCCAGGCCCCAGCCTAGAAGCGACTTTGTCTTGGATCCATAAAACCTATAGCATGAGCAATCCATCCTGGTTAGAAAAGGGAAAGTTTTCATATGTGGTAGACATGTGAAAAAAACTAAGGGATTTTAGGAAATGATATATAATGAAATGAAGATGATGTTAGAATTGGTAATTTCCCAAAAAAAATAGAGGCTTTTTTTCTAGGGATATGGGGGACAAATGTCCCAAAGATTATTATTAAACTATATATGGAACAACAGCTGCCAGAATCCTATGTGTGCAGAACTGGAAGGAAGAAAAAGTCGCAACCAAAGAAGAATGGATTGCAAGACTAATGGACTATGCAGAATTGTCAAAACTGACAGCAAAAGCGAGAGACCAAAGTGATGAGCTTTTTATTGAAGAATGGAAATCCTTTTTGGAGTATCTGAAAAGAACTATAGCCAAATAAAATTGTAGGCAGGATTTGAATTAGGAGCAGTGGGTGGAAAATGACAATAATTGTAATAGAGGAAATATGTATTAGATATAGTTTAACATAATGCAACAGAATTATGTGTAGGAATAAACACACCACAGATGTAAGGATGGGAAGTCACGTTTATTTTTTAAGAGAAATATATATTGAATTTTAAGTTAATGTGCTTAGGTGTTAAGAATTGAATAAAATTTATTATAAAAAGAAAAAGGGGGGACTTTTCGACAGCCTATCACTTTGGGCAAAAGGACCTGTGGCTTCCTGCATAACAGAGCAAAGTTCCAGCAACAACCTAGTATAATCTAAACTACAGAGACCCAGAGAGTCACAAAGTCCTCCATAAGACAGGAGTGAGGACCCTGTGGCTCTGCAGTTTTTTTCCAGACTCTAATTCCCATCAGCCCCAGTCACTCTGATGCATAGGCAAGGCTATGGGAGCTGCAGTCCAGCAACACCTTGAAGGCCACCCCTGCTACAAGAAAACACAAGAGTCCCACAGCAGGACCCTTAAGGCTTAAGCCAGACAAAATTGCTGAGTAGGGAAGTCAGAAAACAAAGGAAGGCACAATGCTCCAGTGTAGCTCTATAAAGGCTTTCAGAGCCTGACTCTGCCACCAACTAAATGAGCCCCTGCCCACTCCAACCCACACAAACTACAAACCCTCTCTGTATGCTTTCCCCTACTTTAGGATAGGTTCTTGCAGCACAAACTCCAATCTCACCTGAACTGTAGCAGGGAAGGGCTGCTGCAACGGACGGTTTTGCTGAGATGGTCAAGGGTGTAGTAGAGAGGGACATCACTGAGCTCCTATCGCACAGAGAGAAAATAATACTAGTTAAAACCGGGTGTTTGCCCTACTGTTGCCATGAAGACGACAGCACCAGTTTATCTTATATAGAGTATTTCAAAGAAAGATCTTGCAGTGGTGGCTTTTTAATCTTTGTTTATTTCTCCACCCTATTTCTAGATTGTCAATAGACCAGAGTACCCTGGGTGATTCCTCTCCCTGCAGAGATTCCTTTCCACGGCGATTCATTTGCCTCAGGTCTACTGCAGGTTGTGAGAACGGAGGCCTGCTCTATGGCAGAGGTGCAGAACCTGCAGCCCTCTGGGTGCTGCTGCTCCAGCCACCATGAGACGCAATGGGAGTTGGACTTTCCAACAACATTCGGAGGACCACAGGTTCCCCACCCCTGCTCTAGAGCAAACTTTTTTACAGGGACTCCCCTTGCTAAAGACAAGCTGAGAGCATTTGCCAGAACATTGCCAGACACTGGTATTCCATTGTGGCTGTGGATTGCAGAAGACAAGACAGACTATGGTATACAAGTTCTTGCTTATCTACCATTGTTTTCCCTTTCCCTTTTGGCGTCCCTCCCTTCTTATCTCTCTTTTTTTTCAGTCTACCACTGCTAATCTTCTCATAGATGGGCTTCCAAGGAACCCCAAGGTGCCCTGGAGCGAAGTTTGAAAACCACTGCCCTATATGAAAAGGGTGCCGAGCACAAAACATACCCTTCCCTTTGAATTTCTATATCAAACCAATTGCCACACAATACTGTATTCATTTGTTCATTCACACTGAGAGTTTGCGCAACTCAGTGGTCCACTACGCAACATCCTTTGTTGCACCTTGGCAAAAAGCTGTGGCTCATGGGGGTGGTCTAAAGGGGAAGGGATCCCGTATGGCAATCGCCTTCATCTTCTGCACAGTCTTCCTCACCTCCATCACCATGCTCAGGATGCCCTGAATCCGCTGGCTTGTTCGGAAGCGTGCTGGGTTGCTCCCAACTGCTGACAGGACTCGCTGGACAAAATCTGCATTGTGCAGGGGCTCTGCCCACAGAGGGCCACCCAGCTGTGGGAGGAGGAGGAGGAGAGAAGCAAGAGTCAGCTTGAGCTCTTCTGGCCAGGGGCATATTATGAGCTGTAGAGATCAGCTGGGCTCACCTGGTGGCGCTGCTGACAATACTCACAAGATGGTCCCACAGGAGGCCCACAGGCAGCCTTGTAGTTGAAGCTGTTGTTTGGTCGGAGAGAGCAAAAGCAGTATTTAAGAGCCTCATTGGGGTAGAAGGGGCTGATACTTTTTCTTTCCCTGTTCCTTTTTTGTTATTTTATTAACTATTGCTTGTTAGGTGCCCAAGTCTCTCTCTCTTTATTTTTATTAATATTTTATTTATACCCCACCCATCTAGCTGGGATTCCCCAGCTATTCTGGGCAGCTTCCAGCACATATTAAAACATAATAAAACATTAAAGACTTCCTGATAGAGGGAACAAATATCATTTAAGCATCCATCAGACAGACTGTCAGTTTGCCTCCTTTGATTGGTAACTCAGAACTGTGTCCATTATCTCTGGCATCAGGCAGAAGAGGCAGGCACAGAGGGGTTCAAACATTGACCGTCACTTCCCCAATATCCCTTCCCGTTTGCCAATAGTTCTATTACACCGATAGGAAGCATCCAAAAATGAGCTAGCACTCTAATAGAAACGTGCGCCTGAACACACCCTCCTCTCCTCACAGAAACAACACGTCCCCCCTGCTTCTGACTCCCACAAACCTATTGTGTATGACTGCATACAAAACTTTGGTTTTTAAAATTTGAGGCCAAAAGCTGAGAATAAAGGAAATGTTGCAATGAACCCCCACCGAAAGAGGATGCCTCATTAAGAGAGCCACCCAGGAAATGAATTTCCCACCCTGGTCAGCACAGGAACATCTGGCAGCGCAAGTGTTCCTGGAATCTGCCCACCTGACTATCTTAGGTAGAAGGAAGAGGGGAAATACTGTTTGATTGTTCTGTAAAAAACATCTCCCCAGCTCTCTTACTTGTTTCCATTGTGAGCCACTTTGCCAAGTCTCTGCATATGAAAGGAGCCACAGCCCACACAGTTATAGACAAAGGCCTGTTTGCTGCCAAAAGAAAAAGAATTATTAACATGTAGCAGGCTTGGCTACAAATAAGAGGCAGGAGGCAGGGAAAGAAAAGCCCAGGGATGGGCCTTAATAAGTACTGGTTGCAGTGGGTAAGCTCCGTTACCTCAGCTAACTGGGAGCACCATGGACAGCCCCCCCCCCACAAGTGGTGACCATTTTGCACAGTGGTGCCGCTCACAGTCCCCACACTCCTTGCCCTGCCCCACATTCTGCCTTCTTCTGTGTCCAAATCTCCTTTCCCTTCCTCCCCCCCAACAAACACTCTGTGAGGTGAGTGAGGCTGAGAGACTTCAGAGAAGTGTGACTAGCCCAAGGTCACCCAGCAGCTGCATGTGGAGGAGCGGGGAAGCAAACCCAGTTCACCAGATTTCAAGTCCACCGCTCTTAACCACTACACTACGCTGGAAGCCACTAAAATGGTTGTAAGCACAAATGGGGCACTACCCAAGGACTGAAACTCAAGTTTGGGGGTGGCTCACCTTGCAGAAGCTTTAACCTTGGCTTGCCCAGTAAAGACCCGGACGAAAACACGAATGTAGAAATCCGCACTGACCGACAGGAGTGGGACAATGTAGCGCTGGTAGCAGTTGGCTCGCAGATCAATGCTGTGCAGGATAATCCGCAGGGCCTGAAGGAAGGTAGGAGGAGACTACAGTGAGAGCTATTGTTACGTTTTGATTTTGGACAGTTAACATTACTGTGATACATGGGAACTTCTACTCTTCATGTGTCAGCCCCATAAGAATATAAGAGTCACTCTGTTATCTTGAGGTTGGCCTTTAGAGTGTGTCCTCCAGCACAGCAGCAGGTAGCCAAGCTGGGAGAAAGAGGGAGTGGAACTGCAGCAGTGTCCTGGATGCCTGCATGGCACTGCCGGTAGATACCACTTGACCTTGCAGAACCGCCAACTTGAAAGCATTCATTTCCTCTTGAGGAAGGCAATAGACAGGCGAAAGGCTGGACAGATACAGTGATGGGACATGGGCTTGTAGTCTGGGGTTCCTGGCAGCTCATTCCACTCACCATCTCATGGCAGAACTTGCCCTTGATAGACATGGACCCATATTTGCTGTAGCAGGTCTCCCCGGAGTTCCCAGCCATTACAGCCATGTCGGTGCATGTGACACACAGCAGGCCTGCAACAGTGTCCCCAAAGGGAAAGGAAGGGTCAGGAGATACAGCACAATCTTTCCCCAAAAATACACACCTAAAAGGGCATCAAGCAACAATTGTAGCGTCAAAGCGTATGGCGCCATGACCTCAGTTTGGACTGCAGCTCTGCCACAAAGCCCATAGCCAAACCATTACATATGCTGGCTTCAGTTTCTATCTGTGCATAGGGAACAACAACGCTCTCCTGTCTCATGAGGCAGGGAAGGAATACAGAAAGAGTTCTGTAGCTTGCACAGCAGGAACAATATCACTTTTACAGGAGTCTTCCAATCCACAGAGAGCTTTAGGAACTTGCATAGCTAGACGGCCATATAATATGCTAAAAGTATGTCTCTGACAAAGCTTTTCCGTCATGAGTCAACATGAGGTTATGGTCCGCATTTTACATTTATACCCAGATTATGTTTTGAAAATCCCCCCCAAAAAAAAACCTGTTTATAAGGACGGACAGAAAAGCCAAGTAGGCGAAAAAAGGTTGGTGTCTCCTAAACCAAAATCCACTGCAGAAGAAGAGTGGTCCAAACAACCTGATTTTCACCATCACTCACAAAATTGGAGCTGGAAGAAGTTATCAGCTCACCTCCGTCACTCACGCTCTGAACCGCAGCATCCAGAAACATCGAAGGGCTGCCATACGGGTCCAGATCAATGACATCAAAGAGGTCTCTGTCTGCCTTGCTCTGGTACATCAGCATCCTGAGAGTGTGGGAGAAAGACCTGTTTAGAAGCACCACACTCCACACACAAAAGGAAACAAAAAGACAACAGTGGCCCAGTTCTTACTATGGAAAAAAGAGAAGTCTAGCTCCCAGGCCCTGAATCAGGGGTGGGGAATCTGTGGCCACCCAGATGCTGTTGGATTACAACTCCCATGATCCCCAACCATTGGCCCTGCTGGCTGAGGCTGAAAGGAGCTGGAGTCCAACCACAATCGGAGTGTCATGGGTTTCTTATCTCTGTTCTAAATGGAAAACCTTTACTCACCGGGCGTCTGACAAGCTTGGAGTCACCAGGTGTCCGACATCATTGAGCTGGATGTTTTTGGTTATTAGCTCAACAGCCTTGGCAGATAAGTCATTCGCCACCACTCTCTGAAGGCCAGGAACCTCCTTTGCAAACCGGATGGAGCGTAATCCAGAAGCAGCCAAGGCCTCCAGCACTCGGACTCCCTCCTGCAGAGAGACAGGAAGAAAGATCTAGAAAGGAGAGATGGTGGGAGGCCCCAAAGCAACTGAGCTCCACAGATGCCTTGCTAAAAATGTAACAGCTGACTTCAAATGGTATCCCCTTGCCACAACTGATGGAGATGTAGAACAAAATTTTCCTAATTATGCCTTATCACCTTGTGACCAATGCACATGGTGAAGTAGACACAAATTGACTTTTGCAGCAGATCTTGAAAGACTGGATCAGCCTTGTGAATGCCTCAACATGTAGCAAAATCTCCAGCTGTTCCCCAGATCTTCGATTTCTTGAGAATGTGTGCTAAAACACAGACTTAATGTTGGAGTTTGGGGAGGAGAGAGGGAATAATGCAAGGTGGTTAGTATTTAGTGGAGCATTTGGTGGCCACTTGTAAGCCAGGCCTCTGCACCAAACAGAGACCTTGCAGTCAAAACTGTAACACAGCTAGCATAGTGTAGCAGTTACCATGTTGGAGGCAAACTGGTAGGACCCAAGTTCAAACCCTCCCCCCCCCACTCGGCCATGAATCTTGCTGGGTGACCTTAATCCAGTCTCTATCTTCCAGCCTGATCTACCTCAGAGGATTGTTGTGAGAATAAAAGGAGAAACTTGTATGCCACCTTGATAGCCTCGAAGGAAAGGCAGGACACAAGTCAAATAGATAAAATATAACTAAGCACAATAAAACTAGTACAAAAATAAATATATTTTGACAAAACAAAAGAAAGGAGGGTCAAGGATGAACAAGGGATCAATACATTCAGCAATAAAATAAGGTGCCATCACAAGACACTCAAACCCCCAAAGTGTACATACACACAGGGACACAGCACCTGGCATACTTCTCCCACTTTCACAGCTTCATGCTCCTCATTATCTTGCTGGTCATCACCACCAGGTGTCTGCTCCAGGTCATCATCTTTTCCCCCTTTCGAGAGATCCACAATCACTTTTGAGACATTCTCTTCTCCAGGGACTGCAACTGGAACAGATGGAAATAACACAGAGTGACATGAAGTCGGGGCCTGCCATTCTCCTTACATAGATTCACAATCCTGAAATCATTTCATACAACTGTAATATGGCATTCAACATTATGCTGAACAGCGTGGACAAAGAGATTGCATATATTTTCCAGGAAGCTAAGCAGCCATTTCCCAGAAGCTAGAGAAAGGTTAGCAGGGTGCTAAGAGATCTACAACGTGCCAATCAAGCTAGCGTTCTATCTTCTATTTACCTTGCATAGATATTCTTAGCACATTTTGTGCAAGAAGACCACAGCTGCTCATGGCTCTTTTATGGTACAGAGTGGGGTCTTGGCTAAAGAGTGATGTGTTAACCAGATCTACATTCTGTAGTTCTAGGAACAATCCCCAAGGCTTCAAAATGGGACATGGCTAGTTCACAACAGAGCCGCTGACAGTATGCAAGCCTGCCTAAACAGGTGCTTAAAGCACAGCTGTCACAGCAAGAGGAACAACATAGAACTGGAGAAGGAAGAAGAGAGTGGAAACAGCAGGCAAAGTCAATATCAGGGTCTGCTACAGCCAAAACGTTCTCCCCTCTCTCTCCCCTGGCCAACTTTACATTTTATAACATTTATTTGTTTTAATAGTTTAAAATGTAAAGTGCTTTGAGTGCGTGGCAGAAAGCCAAGTACAGGGGAGATCAGAGCATCAACACCTCTTCTGCCCCTATTTACTTCACAGGCAGGAGAAAGAATAGGGAAGTGCCCTAGTCAAACGTTTCATTTGGAAGGGAGAGAAAAACTGCCTCCAATGGACAGAGGTAATTACCCTAATGTCCAGACTACAGGACAAACAACAAAGAGAGAGAAAGGTAAATCAACATTCCTGAAAAGACAATTATGCATGCCTCTTACACATCAGCAGTTTCCCCCTCTGGGTCTTGTCTCGAATAGAGGAAAACATTACTACTCACTTGAAATCCCTTTTGATGAAAGCTGCAGCCGTACAAATTCCGTAAGGACTGCACACCTATTTGTGGGAGGAGAGAGAGGTGTCAGAGGTGTGATTTTTGTTATTCTGTAGCCAAGATATACTAGAAAAAAAGATTTCATAAAATTTATATACCACTTGATTGTAAAACCCCCGTCAAAACTAAAGACCCTGTGTGTCTTCAGAACCACTCATTTTCCAGAGCACAGGCTCGTCCATCAGCCCCAGCCGACATGGATGACGCCACCCATCAAGAATGATGGGAGCTGCAATCCAGAAAGCTGGAAAACTACGGGTCCCCCACCCCCGCGAGAAGCCATTCCACTTCAAACCATACTCACTAAATGAGTGAACACAGCTTTCCCCTCCATATTTTTCAGCCTAAACTACTGGGTAGTTATTTGTAACTGAAAGCTATGTTACAGTATCAGTAGACAAATCCCATACAAAATATGTTATATAAATCAGCTTTTAAGGCTCACTGAACACAAGCATCATCACTATTATTACTAAAAAAAAATCCTCTCAACTACCAGATTCCTGAAACTATCAGCCACTTGACAGAAATCCTTTTGGCAGCAAAATAGGGCTGCCCCTTCTCTGTCAAAGGACTGACCCTTACTTTCATCAACCCTCTTGCCAGCAAAGGGGAATTAACTTGACTGCATTACCAAAAGGGTCTTGAAGTGGGTAAAAACTAGGATGCATGCCCTCTAGCACATGACCTTCAAGTTTGATCCTCTCATACACAAAGATACTTCTAGCAAAGAGAGGAGCACCTAGGACACAAAAGCAGGCCTCTCCAGGATCCTTTGCCCCCAGGGTTCCTTGCAGCTTCTGGAGAATAGGGTTCCTTTTGGTGGCAAAAGTACATATCCTTGCACCACTGAAGAGATCCCAATGGAAGAGGGAGAGTTTAGCACCAAGCACATGCAGGGGTGAATTCAATGTAGTGCTCAGTGAGCTCTACTTGCCCAATGATACTTTTCACCCCTCACTTCCCTCCCCCATGTGCCCCCTAAGTCTGTTCTGGGGGTTCCCTCCAACCCTCCAGAGCAAAATAAGGGCCCCTGGGGCAGTATGCTGGGAGAGGAGAGAGAGAAAAGTCTTTCAACAAAAGCAGAGCTTGTAGCTGGATCAGGTACCCATCTTTGGAAACCAAATGCTTCTCTCCCTCCCCACTCCACAATAACCCTTCTGGAAATGAGGTCCACTGAACCCACCTTCACCATAGGAATAACCTGAGGAGGTGGATTGGGCAGTCCTCAGGGAGTCAGTAAAAAAAATAAAATGAAGTGGGGTCACAACTGTGAGCAGAGCTTTTTTTCTGGGGGTACTCAAGGGTACACAGTACCAGCATTTTTTTCCTAGAAGAAAAGCACCGACGGTGAGAATGTCACAGTTCCTCTCTTGTTCATTACACTTAAAAACTAAGTTTAATTCAGCCAGTGGCCCCTTTTCATTCTTGCAAAATCAAAGGGGCAGCCTCTTCCAAAATGCAAGAGCAGATTCCAACAGTCTATCATTTGCAAAGTTAAATGGAAAGCAATCTCTCCCCACATGTCTACTTACGTAAGGTCTCTGTTAAACTCCTGAACAGGGTTGTAGAACACTTCATTGGCACTTGGGAAAAATATTTTCCCCTTCCCTTCAGTGACCAGGGTTCCTCCATTCTTTACTGCCTCACTGCCACCAGTAGTGCTCACGATAGGGGACTGAGCCACATTTTGCTCCAGATTCAAGTCAGCTGTTTCCATACATTGTGGCTGATCACCATCCATGGCTTTCACAAAAATATTTCTGACTTTAACAGCAATTAAAGGTGAAATATTCCAGGCCTTTTGAATCTGTAGCGTTCCTGCCCTTCTGTAAGGAGGTAAGGTGCCTCCCAGAGTCCAAATCCACAGGAGACACTTGCTTTTCATTAGTACAGACTTCTTCCTGAGTATTTTCTGAAAGTATAAGAAAAGCTATTTCTATTGCATAATTTTCCAATCATCAGCACTGCTGTTCTGTATATGCGTGACAGCTTACATACGTTATGATTGCTGCCCACTGCCAAAGATATGGGTAGCAAGCGGTGATTAGTTAAAAAGGAAGGAGAGCCCTCACCTGCGTATAAGAGCAAGAGGTCCTTATTTTTTTAAAAAAAGATAAGGAAATATCAGATTTTAAAAATCAGCCTTGAATTTAACAACTTACCTGATAACAATAGGCACTTAGGAATTCTAGGCAGAAAATTTCATGCAGGTGAGTGGGCTGGTGAAGGATGGATGGGTCTCTCCATTTGACCTCCACCTGCCCCCATGCTCTCCTGGTGAATTCTCTGAGCCAGCCAGCTAGCTACACTGGCAATCCAGCTGGCAGGGGGAAACAAGACATGCAGAGGTAGCAGGAAAAAGCATGCAAACTGCTTCCCAAGCTTGGCTTCTCCTCCTACCTCTCACTTATACTCTAATCTGCAAGTGGACAGCCATAGCTCAGTGGTAAAACATGTTTTGCATACAAAAGGTCCCAAATTCAATCCCCAGCATCCCCAGGTACTGCTGGGTGAGGACCCTGCCTGAAATCATGGAGAGCCACTGCCAGTTAGTATAGACAACTATGCACTAGATGAACTAAGGCTCTGACTCAATATAAGGCAGCTTCCTATGCCTCCAAGTTAAAATGCTGTGATGTACTGCTGGTATAAGGCTAATTCTAGAGTAGTGCTGGCTCACAGTCCTGTCTCGGCTGCCTAAGGGCAATTGGTACCTGGCAATGCAGCAGATCTTACTTGTACAGGACTACTGGGAGGCCCACCAGCTCACCAATCCAATGAGAAAAAAATGGTTGAGATGCCAAACACATCTTCCAACATGCAGGAGGGGCAGCTGAGTTAGGGAGGCTAGCTATTCAAGTTGTTTATTAAATAACCACCAACCTATAGGAAATTCGCTGGGCTTTAACACAAAGAAGGTAAGCATTAAAGTAGTGGGTCTTAATCATATTTTCTCAAAACTATATAACTCTAATATTTGACACTTAACTGAGAATTTTCGATTGGCTGCTGTTTGCACACCACCATAATTATGCTCTTACTCCGCAATGCTGGCTGTAGGTTTCTGCGTCTGATCAGAACTGGGAAGCTTGCAGCAGCACCGGAAAAAGGAAAGAAAATACACAGCACTTCAGATCCATCTTTTCTATAATCCTCCTCCTAGTCTAAGGAATCGGAAACAAAGCCAAGCCAGCATATCACGAACAGCATAGATTGTGGAGAATAGGAAAGTAAATGCTTTATTCACACTCCAGGAGGAAGGAAACAAAACATGTTCCATAACAGAATCTGAAGCTTGCTCCAGTCTAACAATCACCAACCTCTTTAACTCATCCTCCAACCCAGAATATTTCCTTCCCAGAAGCAGCAGAACCAACCAGCACCGACTTCCACGCTTCTCAGCACAGGTTATGTCGACGCCGCCATATTGAAAATTGCTGGGAGACGATCATCTGACGCTCTTCCGACCAATAAAACTAGCGGCGGGTGGGACGCCTATAGGGTCAAAAAGGAGACGTAGCCCAGCTTCCGAAACGCAATTAGAAAAGCCGGAGTTCTTTAAACTCATTTGGGAGGGGACATGTGTCGTACCTTTGAACACGACTTCTTCCGTGATCCGGATGTATATGCGGCTTATACGGGAACATCTGCAGTTTATAGTTTCGTTCCCCAGAAATGATTGCAATAAATGGCGATGAGAATCAGTGGGAATGTAAGCCGTTAGCTGGTATTTCTTAGAAGTCTTCGTTGGCGGGGGGAGAAGAGTAGTTCCTTTTCTATCTTGCAATATAAAACTTTTAAACCATATCGAACTCAGTGGGGCATAATTTCTCCGTGAACAGGCATTAGCTGAAAGAGTCAAAGGTAACAACGTGGCGAACTCCTACACCAAGATAAGTGAGTGTGGTGACACTTAGTAGGTCCCTTTCGTGCATCAAGAATTTAGAAACATCTCATTATTCAGAGTCGGACTGTGGTACTTCGCCAAGCTCACATATTGCGATTTCCACATCAGTTCAATAAAAGCATCCACTGTCTAGTCCTCAACCTCTGAGTTCAACGAAGGGGTGGATACACTTTACTGGGGGTTAGTGGGAAGACACCCAACCAATAACCTTGAGGTTATTTGACTGAAGCTAAATTGTACATCAAGGCTGAGGGTAGCTATGCACGCTTGCTGATCTGTGCCTACATATCTCTCTGTATATTTTTAAATAATATATATGCTACCCTTCAATTTATTGAAAACAATATTAACACCAGGCTGGGCATCCTCACTATGCTGATTAGACTTCATAGTTACAGCAAGCTTCCCCAGACGTATAATTTTGTTACGTATCCTTGTTCTTAAAATCTACAGATTTTATCTGTATTTTTCATAAATGTTTCACACTGTTTTAGGTAAGTCACTTAGGGATTCCCCCTCTTTTATGAAGCAGTTAATTTTATTTATTTGACAAGATTTATAAGCAATCTAAATATACATGTTTTCAGGGTGGCTTACAATATATTTGATATCTTGGTAGATCGCTTGAGATTTTCTAGAGCTAATCAGCATCAGTGTTAGGACTCAGTAGGGCAGTTCAGATTATCCTCCTAGCATATATGAGAGAGATAGCAGGGCTAGCCCCACATCCCATCCCTTAAATATAGGGGTTTCTGTTCATATGTTTGCACGCTGTGCATGGGCATTCAATGGGCAGGGCTAGGCTAGCCAGATAACATCAAGGACAAGGCCAGCAACATTGCTCTGTTCTTTGCACGGATATCCTTACATGCATTGCACAGTAATACATTATACATATGCTGCAATATCCTGTCAAGTTTATCTATAAATACAAATCAGGTAGACAAGAAGATAAGGATCTTTAGATGCAAAGGAGCACACCAATGCCTTTACAAACTGGTCTGTTTGTTTACTCCAAAGTAAATCCCACTGCTTTCAGTAGAACTTACTCCCAAATAAGCACACATAGGATTGCTGCTTTAATAGCTGTAAAGAAGGAGGGATTTGGGCAGGTGTGTCTTGCAATGCTGAACTTGCTTCTTCTACACAATTATTTTAAAGTATGCAAGCCTATCTTCCTTTACACCTAGCTGCCACCTTTTTTTGTTCTTGCTCCTTTAGCAGCAATCTCATACTGAAAAAATAAGCAGGTAAGGCTTTTCCTGGCACAGGAATGCAGTAATGTGGATTAAATGCAGAAATCAAGCAGGGACTGTTTTTCCCACACACAGTTCAGAGCCATTTTTGTGCAATGTACTTACTCTAAGTTGTTGGCATCTATCTGTTTCGAGAGACAATGCAATATGCCTCCGGCGATGAAGTCAAACCGCTGCATTAGTGACACTGAAGTGACCTCTCCAGGGCACAAGCCTGGGCAGTGTGTATGGAGGTTTTGGGCCAGTGTGTATGGGCTGCCAAGATGACAAGACCCCCATTTTGGCCTCATTTATGTGGTCCAAAGGAATTTAGAGCAATATGTTTGGCACCAGCTTGGCTTCAGGAGTTGGCAGGAGGCATCCAAGGTGCCATCCAACTGCCTTAGGGACTCCTGATTTATGTAGGGTTTGCTGTTAGACTTTGTTTCTCTTGAAGATATCCCACAAGACAGCAGAGATTTAGGATCAGAGTTTTCCTTGTCCTAGATGGGCTACCTTCCTAGGTTGATAAGCCCCATCTACTCCCTGACCTCCCTCTACAGCATGTGCAGAAACCATCTTATTGACTTCTGGACCCACTATTGGTCTCATCCACTCGATCTGCCGGAGCCTGCCTTTGCATGCAAGGTAAGTCCTTAACTCACCTGGTTTAGCCAGCCAGTCGAAGTTGTTCCTGGGGTGTGGCCACTGTTGCATGCTGACAGCTTCTAGGAGCCACAGGTGAGAGCTGAATGCAGGGTAAGGATGATGTACTACAAGGTAAGGATGAAGGTACTACCCCTCCCCTAGCACCCCATATTGAACAAATGATGTTCAAATCCCCACTCAATAATGAAGTTCACTGGATGACTTTAACCTGGTTGCTACAGCCACCATCTTAAGATGAGTATCTGACAACCCTGTCTATCTATAAGCAGTTTTTCAACCTGGTATATGGTTGATCACAAATGGAGGCCAAATACTAGAATATGTTGCCCCTTGATCCGATGGGTGGATTAGATGGTGTTGCATCAAGAATTTTCTCACACTGTCCAGTGGACTTTCCCTCCCCATCACTTTCCTATCTCCAAATGTCTGATCTTTGGGGGAAGCAGGTTTCTTGTGCAAGACTTCCAAATCCACTTTTATTGCACAACCTGAATTTGCTGGTATGTGATTCAATCACACCTGAAAATAGCGACAGCCTGGAAATTCCCTCAGAGAATGTTATAGTCAAAGTGGAGTTTAGATTTGAGTCTTCCAAAGTTAAGGTCACCATGTAACTCCAGGTGTTGCTAAGAATGCCAACTCTTTTCTGGTTCCTGTTCCTCCACCCAACAGCAGGTTATGATGCTCATCTGCATATTGTGAAAATGCACCTGTTCGTTTCTACAGATAAAGCTGCAGCCAAAAGCACAGAATTAGGCCAGGCACCTTTGTGTGATGAGTTGGCAAGTTTAGTGACAACATCACAATGGCTCTTACTAACAGAAGTGGCTCAAATGATGATCACAGGTTCCGGGTTGGTTCATATGGGGAGAGTCAGTTCTTCAGGTGTTGCAGTCTTGAGCTGCTTAAGGGTTTATAGATCAAATAACAACACTTTGAACTGGGACCAGAAACTAACTGGCAGCCAGTGCAGTTGGGCCAGGATTGGTGTAATATGCTCAAGCCATCTTGTCCCATTACCTGACCACTGAATTCTGCACCAGCTGAAGTTTCCAAACCGTCTTCAGAGGTATTCCCACGTATGGCATGTTGCAATAATCTAACTTAGAGGTTACCAGAGCATAGACAACAGATGTTAGCTTATCTCTTTCCAGATAGCGGTGCAGCTGGGCCACCAGCCAAAGCTGATAGAATGTACTCCACACCACAGATGCTGTCTGAGCCTTGTGACAGCAATAGATGCAGAAGTACCCCCAAGCTGTGCACCTGCGACTGCCCTAATCCACTGAAAACTAGCTTCCTTTTGAAACTATATGACAGTGTTTACAGCACTTTAACATTACCAAACGGGTCCTTGCCCAAGCCTTGCATTCTACTTTTAGACAAGGGGCAAAAGGGAGATGAAAGCGTAATGATGTGTATGAGCAAGAGAAGTTACATATTTATACTGAGCATGAGAACAGAGGACTGGCTTCATCAACTGTGTTTGTGCCCCTGGGAATTCAGGGTGGAGGAAAAGAATAGGCAATTTTAAATGCTCAGTTCTGTATCAGAAAATTATGAGAATGTCTTCAAAACATGAAAAAGTGCTGAAGTTTGTTTATTTTTCTCTTTTGTATTGAAAGATGTTCGTACGGAATATAATATTATTTTCAACTCCTTTTTTTCTGTCACTTGTCTGAGTTCATCCCAGTGTTGACTTTGGGGAGTTGCTAGGTGCCTTGAACGTTTTGTTCCCCGTTCCAAGACTCAAGCCTGAACGTTTTATCGTTATTCAACTCCGTTTAATGACGAGTCTTTTGGATTTGAGGATTTCTAAAAGCTTGATTTTGTTTCAGTCAGGATAAAGTGAATGACTTGACTCAGGTTTTTGGGAAACTTCTGTGTGACTCACGCTGTATGTAGTTGACTTGAGAATTAATTCCGGGCAAACGGTGCGGGAAGAGAAAAGCTAGCTCCCTTTTGTTTTCATTCGTCGGCGGAGTTTGGAGACAGGAACCAAACTTGGTGAAATTTATGCGCCTCTAGGCACAAATCGGGGATGATTCCGCCCGTCATCCTGAAACCCTTTCCTTAAATTTTATTTATTTTAATTGCGGATCCTCGGATTGGAACGTTTACTTCCCTGGGTTAAATACAGAGCTTCTCCTGCCAGCTCCTGGGAGATCACTCGCTTCCAACTCTCGGGGAACAAAGTCAGGCTGGCTGGCAAGTTCAGAAGCAAATATTTCCCAGTTCCAAGGCAAAGGGGAGAGGAGGGGCGAGGGAGGGAGGGAGCAGGAGCTGGCTCGGAGCTCCGCTAGCAAGGCCTGTGGGAGCGCAGAGACGGAGGCCTGGCTTGGCTGGGCAGAGCACTACAGCGGCTCGCAGGCTGCTCCATCCACCAGCTCGGCTCTCTGCTGAGCCTGCCTAGGCTGACAATGAATGGCTGCTGCTAGTGCTGCTTGGAGGGCTAGGGGAGCAGAGCCCCTCCATTGAGCGACATCTCCTCTCCCCCCCTTCTCTTTGCGCAGGTGAGAGCCACGTCGCCCCCCTCCCTTCCAGGAGACCTCACCACTCCAGGGTCGCCCCCCGCCCCACTCTTTTAAGTCGGGGCACCCACCCGCCACCCTCCTTCCAATGCATGCACCCCTCCCCCCATTATCCCGGGTGTTTAAACTTTCCTCGCCCTCGCCAAGCAGCCCTCTAACCTGCCGGGTTCGCCCAAGGGGGGCGGCGGGGTGGGGGGAAAGGGGATCCTTAAAACAGCAGCTGTTGCCTGCGCCGATTCCCCCCCCAGGTGGGAGAGGCCCCCCTTAGCAGCCCTCCCCGTCTCTCTCTTTCCCCCACCCTCCCTCCGTCCCCCTCCCTCCGTTGCACCCCAAACCAGACCCCAAGGGAGGACCTTTGCGCCTGCCTTCGGGGTGTGGAGGGAGAGAGGAACTGCGCCCCTGGGCTCCCCTGCTAGGCCTCCTTGCAGTCGGTGACCCCTTAGCAAAGTGTGTGTGCTTTTGGGGGGGATGCCCCCTTACCCCCCCACCCGCCTTCCTCCTCCTCCTCCTTCACCCCGGACCTCACAAGCAACGTGGTGGCGCTCGCTGCCTCTCCCCGGCCTGCGCCTTCTCCTCCGCACAGGCTGGCTGGCCGGGAGGGCGCGGGCTTCCCCTCTCCGCAGGCCTGTCCGAAATCCCCCGACGTTCCCTGCGGGGGCTTTGTCCTGCTCCTCCTCGCCTCGCTCCCCCCCGGCCCGGCCGCCTAGAGGAAGGGCGCAGCGGCGGGGCCACCCTCGAGGGAGAAGTTTCGAGTGGGAGCCCCTTGGCGTTGCCAGGCGAAGACGGCCTGGTCGGGCGGTTGGCTTGGAAACCCGGAATTCGGTGGCTTTCGGAGGATGCTTTTGGGCCACGGTGGGGGAAGGGGCGCGGAAAGAAAGCGGCAGGGGAGAGGAGAGGAGGAGGGGCGCTTCCCTTCCTCCTCCTCCACTTCCAGCGGGGGGGGGAGAGGTGGGGAGGGGGCAAAATGTTCTTTTTTTCTGCAATGGGACCTTTCAGAGTTTAAAAATGGGGGGGGGGTTTCTAGGGGAAAAGTTCGAGAAACGAAACTTCAGAAACTTTCACTTGTGGGGCAGCAGAAGTTAATATCGATACTGGTTCGAAGAGACCAGGCTGGGAATGGGGGGGGGGGTGTTATTAACTGTTCTGGCGTGCACGTTCACTCGGAAATTGCAGTATTACTCTCTCGCTGAGATTAATGGAAGTTTACTCCCAAACATAGACTCGGTTTACAACTTCCTGGGATGGCGGGTGGGGAATTAAAGTTTTCAATGGTTGTTTTGGAAGGGGTGGGATTATGCGTATTTTACTTAGGTTAACTCCTTATGCACGTGGTAAGGGAAGGAGAAGGTCACAATGTGGCTCTGACTTGAGGATAGTTTTTGTTCTCTTGAAGATACTTGTGGAGGTGGTGCAGTATGTTCCTGATAAATGAACATTGTAAACAAGTTGCCACTGAATAGCTCACCATATGTTATTTGTTTTCTCAAGTCTTTGCTTCTCTCTCTCTCTCTCTCTGGATTCCAATTTGGCCTTTCTAAGTGCCAAGTTTATTCTACCAGAGGATACAATTGTTGTATTGTCAACTTGTGACTTCATAACAGAAAAGAGTTGTAGTGTTATTTTTCATAAGCAGGTGAGCTATTCAAAAATAGTGCATGACGACTTTGCAGCAAAATTGGCTCTGAAAAGAGGAAGACCACAGGTATATGGCATTATATACATTGTTAACTGAGATCCTCAGAAGGGCCTCTAAAAGTTAGATCCTGCTGTAAATTGCAGTAACATCTTATATAGATTAAGGCTTCAATAAGAATATTCTGTCACAACTGACGTCTGACTAATGGGAGGGAGATGGTGCACAGACAATGGAACTCTCCTCCAAAGATTACCTTACTGGTACTTGAAGCTGTGTATTATAGTTAGCAGTGTTGTTTAGTGTTGTTTAGAGCAAGCCACAGTCCAAACCAAGTTCTGCTTCTAATAAGTTCTGCACAAACAGATAACAGACTCTTGTAGAACAGCTGCATGTCTGTCTATTCAGAAGTAAATCTTGCCAAGTTACATGGGGCTTCAAAGTAAATGTTCACAGGATTGCTGCTTTGGATCTATTCTATTTTTTCCTGTATACATAAATTAAAATAAAGATGAGCATCACAAACAATAAGCAAACAACTGGAGTACAGAAGTGGTCATTTTACAAAATTATTATGACTTACACAATCATTTAAACAGGTGTTGGTTGAGCTCCAACAGACTCACTAGCCCTCCTGATGAATCAGTAGGGAGATCATATTTTTCAGAAACCCCATTCACATTATGTATGGCAGACAGGTGTCAGTGAGATGGTCTTGGTGAGTCTGACCCCTGCTGAGTTGCAGTGTTGGGTCAATTTCTCAGAGAAAACTGTCTGCTGTGCCTTTGATATATACGCCTTAATTGTAAATCTGATTTGAGAGGCCAAGTGCTGTGCAACTTCCATTTATGCCACTATCAGCAGAAAGATTTTAAGATCCATGTGTAGCACTGAGCTCTTCTGTTCTAAGGGGTTGGACAGGAGGGCTAATGCTGAGTCTGGGATGATCAGATGGCACAAAATATCAGCTATTATTCCAAATATATTCTTGTCAAAAGATTTACTCCCTGGGGCATGACAGTCATAGATGAATTAAGGAACCATCCTTCTTGCACCCTCTTCAGCAATGAGGAAAGGTGACACTGAGGAGAGATGGCACTGTTAACTCAGTGAGGGCTGACAGCAGTATAGTTCTACTTGCAGATTTGAGCTTATCTTCCCTGAGCTTGGCAGAAACCCTGTGAAGTCATGCCATCACTATACTAATGACTTGTAGCTCTACTTCTCCATAACATCTATGTCAGTAGAAGCTGTGCATGGTATCCTTCTGGAGCAGCTGTCCAAGTTAGGGGAGGTAAGCACCGCTTTGCAGTGGTCCCAATCCTACTTGGATAGTAATTTCCAGAGGGTGATACTTAGGGGAGTGCTTTTTGGCCCTGTGGAGCCTTCAGTGTGGGGTTCCTCAGAGTTTGATTTTATCCCCCATGCTGTTCAACATCTACATGAAACCACTGAGTGGGGTCATCCAGAGTTTTGGAGTACATTGTGAGCAATATGCTGATGACACATCTGCAGGTGTGGCAGTGGAGGTGTTGGACCGTTGTCTTGCCTTGCTAATGGACTGGATGAGAGCCAATAACTGAAGCTCAATCCAGATAAGACAGAGGAACTGTTAGTGGGTGGTTCCCTAGGCCAGATGGATGGGAGGTTGCCTGATCTTGATGGAGTTACTCTCCCTTTGAAGTGGGTATGCATCTTAGAGGTACTTCTGGATCCGTTGCTGTTGCTTGAGGCCAGGTAGCTTCTGTGGCACAGAATGCCTTCCAACAGCTTTGGCTGGTGGCCCAGCTGCACCCCTCTCAGGACAAGAATAGCCTAACCTGTGTTGTCTATTCTCTGGTGACCTCTAGGTTAGATTACTGCGGCATGTTATATGTGGGGATGCCTCTGAAGATGGTTCAGAAACTTCAGCTGGTGCAGAATTCAGCAGCTAGGTTGCTCACTGGGGCAAAATGACTTGAGCACTTGCTGCCAATTAGTTTCTGGGCCCAATTCAAAAGTGCTGGTTTTGATCTATATACCCTTAAACGGCTCAGGACCCCAGCACCTCAAGAACTGACTCTCCCCATATGAATCGACCCAGACCCTGCAATCATCACCGGAGGCTCTTCTTCATATGCATCCTCTGCAAGTCCAGAGGGCGGCAACACGAGAACAGCCCTTTTGTGAGATAACCTCCCGCTTTGTGGAATGCTCTCCCCAGGGAGGCTCACTTGGCACCTTCATTACATATCTTTAGGGGCCAGGTGAAAAAATTCCTCTTCTCTCAGTTCTTTGGTTAATTATGCCTTTTAAACTGTGAGAAGGGGTTATTTTTTGTTTATTATTGTGTTATGTATTTTTGTGTTTTTATACTGTAAACCTCCCTGTGATCCTCAGATGAAGGGTAATATCGAATCATCATCATCATCATCATCATCTGGAGCCTTCTGTGGGTACAGTGGTGGAGTGGATGAGGGCCAAAAAGATAAGCTGGAATTCTAGAAGACAGAGGCACAGAGTTGGTGGTTCTTGTGTCCAGGAGATTGGCCATTTATCTGTTCTGCATGGGGCTGCAGGGAGTCAAACTGTTGCCTTGCTCTCCCCGACCTCACCTCCCTGCTTGCTTTGACTTTAACTCTTGTTCATCTGTGACAGAAAGTGTTCTGGTTCAAGCAGGTGAAGATTGAGTAATTGGTTCAGCAGATCTGAACCAACTGGTTCAGTTCCAGTTCATGTATGAAAACTTGTCATTTGCATACATGGAGATATTCAGCAATGCAGTATTGGATCCTGTTCTTAACTCCGTATGGTTACACATACTGGTTAGAAAAACTGTGCAGGATGTTGGAACCTAGTGGGGCGGATACACAGGCAAAACACTTGGTGATCTGGATTATTTATCCTAACAGGAGTGAATCGATTCCTTTTAAGAATTATGTTCTCTTGGTGGTTTCCACCCATCCAGCCCCATGTTTCTGGATTCCCTCTTTATTGTCTCATGGAGAATAAGGACACTGGGAGGCTGCTGGACTATGTACTTGCTGTCTGGGTCCCTGTAAGCCTAATTATCACAGAAGTAGCCTGTTTGTCAGGGATCTTACTGTTTAATCAACAACTATTTGCATCCTGACCCATAGGTCAAAGGTTAGAAAGATCGGGTTTTGACCACTTTAATAGGGACACAGACTGCTGTAGTGCTGAACCATGGGAGAAGCACTTTGCAGTGCACATACATTTCTTCCTCTCCCTGCCTATTTCCTCCACTGACCTGTAAAGCTTCAGTCTCTGTCCTGCCTCCTGCTTTCCAGACAGAGGGCAGAGGATGGAGGACAAATTCAAAATGTATAAAAACTCTCCGTTATTGGTTCCATATATACATGGTAAATTCTGGTTGTGGCAACTGCATGTATCATTGCAGTGTTGTTTTATTACCTGAACTGTAATGAGTCTTGAGAGGCTTGTGTGTTCTGTTCACGTTCATTGAAAATTTCCTGATAGTCAAAGCAATAAATAGTTGGTTTGGTGTTGAATTTCAATCCCTAGTTCTATGAAATTGCAGTGCTCCAGATTAGCGGGCTCCGGCATCCATTGTGATCTTTGGGGATGTGACGTTCTATTGTAAGGAGGCATATCTGATGGCAACCCTATCTGAGCCTGGGGTATTGTCCTATTCAGTGGCTGTAGGGCCAAGTGCTGGCAGAGAGAGCTTAATGTGTTAATATGGTTATATAATGATGCATGTTACCAAAATAAATTGCAGGTGCATTTCTACGTTGAATATGATTTTCAGTTTTGGCTGTTTCATCTTAAAATTGTGGAACTGGAAAAGATGCAGGGGTGGGCAGAGTATAGAAGGCCTTTCACAGGAGAAGAAAGTAAACCTACTGAGAGCCATTGGAACAGATAACCAACACCTAGGTGAGAATATGAGTCATTTCTGCAAATCACAGCTAGATTGGAAAATCTGTTTTGTTCTTTCACTTATTATAACTGATGGATTCACTTATTAAATTAACACAACTGCCCTACCCCCCCACGGTACAGTTGCCCTGTGATACTGCTTTGCTACAGAAACAGGACAAAGAGCCAACATATAAGTAAGTTCAAAAGAGGACAAGAGCAATTTATGAGTGATAGAAATATACCGATAGGCAGATGCCGTCTAAGATGATCGGGGTAGTGTGTCATTTTGCTGAAAGAGTCCGTAGTCCTGAAATTGCTGAAAAGAATACAAGAG